CTTGGTATAGCAAGGGGTCCCAAAAACAACCAACCAAAAAGAGTCAACATGAGATGCAGTACTAAACACCTGCAATGAGGTCCACCTTTATTTCTGGATTAGTGGGGTTGAGAGGAATACCAATAGCTTATGGGACTGAGCAGAGCAAAGTTTTGGAGTTCCTTAGCTGGATGTAGCCACCAGGGTTGGGGTCAATTCCATTTCAATTCAGTCAATTAAGGACGTAAACCGAAAATGTTCTCATAAAGCATCGAGTAAAATTGGAATTTCAGTGTACTTCCTGAATTGAAAAGGAATTGACCCAGCTAAGGAGAATGGGCTCGACTGTAGACTGTAATCCCGTCTGCAAACAAGGCTCCTGGCTTGTCGGTGACGACCCAGAGCACAGCAGAGACAAATCTGTTTGCTCAGCAGCTGACTGAGGACATGGAGATGTTCCTTTCACACGGAGCTGAGCGCCAACAATCAACTCTTTCTTGTCAGGGAGGGTTCTGCTGTTACAGCTCACAGGAAGAATACATATCCCTTGAAGTACACTACTAATAGTTGAGATCCCCATTCTTTGAGATGGGAATGCACTGCTCCTTAATGCATAGATGGAACAAAACAGTTTTTCTGGGTGTGTGAGTCCCAAGGTGATGAAAGAATCACTGGGTCAAACATATTTCCAGTTTATAACCAGTTTGTTTTTGCCAAAATACTAATCGTACAATAATGGTTTATTGTGGTCATTTCAATTCCATAAACAAACACACAACTGAACAAGATTTCATTGGTTTTAAGTCAGTATCTACCTGAGATATGAGTTATTTTACAAATCAAACGCTTTCCTCAAAACACTTTCTTCTAAACACAAAACATTTTTTTAAGGAAAATATATTATACCTATGGGACTTACAAAATCAGTTGGGTATTCTTAAATTTGAACACATTTGAGAGCACACAGAACCCCAGTCCCTTCTGCTGAGCACTAAACACAGAAATCTGGCAGGCAGATCACAAAAATAACAATTTATTACTTGTGGAAAATGTGGTCAGTCCCTAGCTTGAAATCTAGAAATGACTGGGAAATTCTCCCAACAATGATAGAGGAACAAGAATTTGGCGCATCATCCATCTTTTCACAAAACCTTTCCAGCTTATCACATCAGGAATGGTTGTCAGGATAGATTCAAGAAGGCAAACTTCTGGCTTTCAAGACTTCTCTGTAGACGACAAACACAATGTAGAAAAATGTAAAATACAGTGGTTTCGCTCACCCAAAACCTGAAAATGTCTTTCTTTTCATAGTATAATATCTACACCATAGTTATACATTTTGAAAAGCCCATGATTCCTTAAAAAAATACTGCATATTACATGTGTTCTACTGATGGCCATAAAATAGTTGATTTGTGGGAGCAATTATTGCATTGTCATATTGTTAATAGCTTTGTCCTACTTGGGTTCATAAGCCTTCTGAAGTGCCTTCCTCACAACAGCTAACCCCAGAAAGAGCATAGGTTATTGCCCTAAACTGATCCAGAGCCCAAGGTCTCACTGAAGACAGCCTAACTCCCTTCAAGATTTGAAGAAGTCAGCTTGAAAACAATACCCCAGTGATTAATGCCCAGTCCAGAGACTAGGCTGAGGATTTGTTGCAAATCATCCACAGACAAAAAAAAATCACCCCACCATTCAACACATTAACTATGACACGGTGGGAGGAATTACACTATGTAGGAAGTGAAGAATCAAAAGCAACCACTGGGAGGAAAAAGTTGGAAGTGTATAGGCCTACTGCACAATAAGCAATCATATGTTTGAGACTTGTCTTCATATGTTTAAGATTTCCCATTAAGATTGTAAACTGGTAAGATATACAGCAAGCTTCATGGTTTATATGACTTTGGATCATATAAAAGGCATGGCAATGCTTACATTCTCCAATCCTCATCAGAGCAGACAGCTCAGACAAAATCGAATTACTTAATTAAAATATGCTTTATAATCAAACATTTTCTTTATCAATAAAGACAAAAAGACAAGGGCACTAAATATATCCCAAATTAAATGCCAAAATAATGTCGCCCTCTTGTGACTGCTTTGAAAATCGATTTACTCATGATGGTCTACTACTGCAACGTGAAGAGTCATACAATAAGAACATTGAGTCTTTTTATAACTTTATTAATTTTTTTTGACAAATATATATGAATGTTTAACTCTTAAGGAGACAGTATTTGGAGAATTCTTTACAGAAAATGAACTCTCCTAAATAGACAAGAAACCAACATAAAATACATCTACATGATTGAACTAACCATTTCTATTTGTGCCAAGGAAGAGAATGATACAACTTATTAAATTGACAGTGAATTGATGCAAGTGATTCTTAAATTCAGTCCAATGTTATTTGGTGCTGACAAAAAAAGTTATTTCAAAAAGCCTGATGGGACTGTCATTTTCAGACATCTGTATTTTTCTGATTCATGGGGTTGACTGTTAGTTTTGCATAAAGGCACACAAGCATTGGTAACCCTCAAGTGAGCATTGCTTTTTTTGGCAAGACATTGGTCCCATTAGGCAGTACAATTATCCAAACAACTTAAACAAAAATATGTTTGCAAAAAAAAAACTAAAAAACTATACGAATAAAATGACCAAAAGATTTAGATCATTCATGTATACAGGGAAATGTCTTCTAGTAAGTAAAAATTGTAGAGACCTAAATTAATAATAATAATAATAATAAGCCATTTAGCAGACGCTTTTATCCAAAGCGACTTACAGTCATGTGTGCATACATTTTTACGTATGGGTGGTCCCGGGGATCGAACCCACTACCCTGGCGTTACAAGCGCCATGCTCTACCAATTGAGCTACAGAGGACCACATTAGATTGGATATTTACTCAAGGGTACAGTGGGTCAGCAGTATAGGACACCAACTCAGAAACCTGCTTTATGCTAATGAGAGCTTGAGGGAACACCAACTTATTTACAGAGGATGAAGTTCAGAAAGGGACCTGGTCTCCTGCTGTATGAACCCCTGGAGGCTTCGCTTTCCCTGCCTGAAGGTACTTTCCCTCCTGGAAAATGGTAGGATGACCAGGAGCCTTAGGAGGGTTTCAATGTTACTAAAGCTCCTAATGTCTGATGCCTTCAGGGTGTCGAGCACAGTGGCTGGAAGATACCCGGACATGGGATCCAACCACTTCTCTCTCCAAGACTTAATCTCTGTTGGGAGTGAGACCAGGTCAGGCATGTCGTCTTTGAACATGCGGAAAACATGGGCATTTACAATGCAGTTTTCTAGCTTCGACATGGCGTAAGGCACAATCTCCAGGCACCTCAGGGTACTGAGGACCTTCTCTGTGAAGAACTCACTGACCTCAGCAATGGAGTGCTCTATCACCTTATGACTCACCGCCATTTTGTAAAACTGACTCAGGGGTTCTAGCAGTGCAGAGTGCAACAGCGTTATCTGCAGCTTGGAAGCTAAAGCAACAGCTTCCTTGAACCAGGCCTTGTGATGTGTGTCAATATCGCGCTTCAATTCATTGAGGGAAGTTAGGAGATCAGGCAAGCTATTCATAGCTAGCAACACATCTAGGGGTTTGCCTTGAAGAGATTGGCTCAGATTTTTGGTCGAGCTCAGGACATTCTTCAGCACGACAGCCGAGAAGATGAACTCAAAACTTCGGACTTTATTGAAGTAAAGCAGTGCTTGGCCACTCCCTAAGCTATTCTCTTTGCTTTTCAGCTCGTTCAAGCACAGCATGACTACCTCTAGGAGCGCTACCATCAAATCATGCATATCATGACTCTTCTCCCAGTTCTTAATAAGCTTGTCCCTAAACTCATTACCCTTCCCCTCATCATGTTGGAATATGGCAATGATCACCTCTTCCAGTTTGGTCTGTCGTTCTGCATCATCTGTGAGCCACTGTAACATGTTTTCTACAGACACTGCACAGTCTGCTGCCGCCACTGCAGGAGATGACCTGGCTAGCCACACATTCAGAGACACAGCAGAGCTGACCGTCCGCATGGCCAGAGGGTATTTCTGGGATATTACAGCAGAGACATCCCTCATCCGAGACCCTACCTCACCAAAACTTAGCAAGGCTTGCCCTCTACAGTACTCCATATTGAGCCCCCATTTCTCTGATAGGGCTGTTTCAATAGCATCAGCCAAGACAGCAGTGTCCTGGCTAAACGGGATGAAAGCTACAGTCTCCTCGCACTGAGTGTCCTGTTTGTCCAAGTACCTGATGCACAGGGGGACGTAGAGCTGTCCCTCAATCTCAACTGCCTGTTCCGTTATTATTGTAAAGAACTGTGAGTCCCAGAGTTCCTTAAGGATTTCCTCACGCACAGGTGGGTCATAGAAAGACATAGCCTGCCTCTGACCTATGACCCCATCCTCTACCATCACAACACCGTCCTCTGCCTTCATGCTGTCCTCGGCTATCACAATGTCCTCTGCTTTTACACCGTCCTCTGCAAACATGACTTCTTCTGTTATCACGGCGCCTTCTACTTTCAACCCACCCTCTGCTTGCACGCCGCCCTCCGCTCGCACGACGCCCTCCGCTTGCACGATGCCCTCCGCTTGAACGCCGTCCTCCGCCATCACGCCGTCCCCCGCCATCACGCCGTCCTCTGCCATCACGCCGTCCTCAGCCATCACGCCGTCCTCAGCCATCACGCCGTCCTCAGCCATCACGCCGTCCTCAGCCATCACGCCGTCCTCAGCCATCACGCCGTCCTCCGCCATCACGCCGTCCTCCGCCATCACGCCGTCCTTCGCCATCACGCCGTCCTCCGCCATCACGCCGTCCTCCGCCATCACGCCGTCCTCCGCCATCACGCCGTCCTCCGTCATTACGCCGTCCTCCGCCATCACGCCGTCCTCCGCTATCACGCCGTCCTCCGCTATCACGCCGTCCTCCATTATCACACCGTCCATCTCCATCACGGCATCTTTCACGCTGTCCTCTGCCTCTTCCACCGCCTTCAGCTCTCCTGCAGGGGGTTGCTCTGCCATATCAGCTTGGTGTTCCTCAACTGTCTGCTCATGTCTCTCATCAGGGTTTACATCCAAAGCTCTGAAATCTAAACACACAGATAAATAAAACACCCCTCTTTCCATTATTGTCACTCTAAATGATATACTATTACATGGTTCATGTAGAATACAGTGCCTTGCAAAAGTATTCATCTCCCTTGGCGTTATTCCTATTTTGTTGCATTACAACCTGTAATTTAAATTGATTTTTATTTGGATTTCACGTAATGGACATACACAACATTGTCCAAATTGGTGTGAAGTGAAATGAAAAAAATTACTTGTTAAAACAAAATCTAAAAAAATCAATAACGGAAAAGTGGTGCGTGCATATGTATTCACCCCCTTTGCTATGAAGCCCCTAAATAAGATATGGTGCAACCAATTACCTTCAGAAGCGACATAATTAGTTAAATAAAGTCCACCTGTGTGCAATCTAAATGTCACATGATCTGTCACATGATCTCAGTATATATACACCTGTTCTGAAAGACCCCAGAGTCTGCAACACCACTAAGCAAGGGGCACCATGAAGACCAAGGAGCTCTCCAAACAGGTCAGGGACTAAGTTGTGGAGAAGTACAGATCAGGGTTGGGTTATAAAAAAATATCCAAAACTTTGAACATCCCACGGAGCACCATTAAATCCATTATTTAAAAAATGGAAAGAATATGGCACCACAACAAACCTGCCAAGAGAGGGCCGCCCACCAAAACTCACGGACCAGGCAAGGAGGGCATTAATCAGAGGCGCAACAAAGAGACCAAAGATAACCCTGAAGGAGCTGCAAAGCTCCACAGTGGAGATTGGAGTATCTGTCCATAGGACCACTTTAAGCCGTACACTCCACAGAGCTGGGCTTTACGGAAGAGTGGCCAGAAAAAAGTCATTGCGTAAAGACAAAAATAAGCAAACACGTTTGGTGTTCGACAAAAGCCATGTGGGAGACTCCCAAAACATATGGAAGAAGGTACTCTGGTCAGATAAGACTAAAATTGAGCTTTTTGGCCATCAAGGAAAACGCTATGTCTAGCGCAAACCCAACACCTCTCATCACCCCGAGAACACCATCCCCACAGTGAAGCATGGTGGTGGCAGCATCATGTTGTGGGGATGTTTTTCCATCGGCAGGGACTGGGAAACTGGTCAGAATTGAAGGAATGATGGATGGCGCTAAATACAGGGACATTCTTGAGGGAGACCTGTTTCAGTCCTCCAGAGATTTGAGACTGGGACGGAGGTTCACCTTCCAGCAGGACATTGACCCTAAGCATACTGCTAAAGCAACACTTGTGTGGTTTAAGGGGAAACATTTAAATGTCTTGGAATGGCCTAGTCAAAGCCCAGACCTGAATCCAACTGAGAAGCTGTGGTATGACTTGTGGCTAGATGTGCCAAGCTTATAGAGACATACCCCAAGAGACTTGCAGCTGTAATTGCTGCAAAAGGTGGCTCTACAAAGTATTGACTTTGGGGGGGGTGAATAGTTATGCACACTCAGTATTCTGTTAATTTGTCTTATTTCTTGTTTGTTTCACAATAAAAAATATTTTGCATCTTCAAAGTGGTAGGCATGTTGTGTAAATCAAATGATACAAACCCCCCAAAAAATCAATTTTAATTCCAGGTTGTAAGGCAACAAAATAGGAAAAATGCCAAGCGGGGTGAATACTTTCGCAAGCCACTGTATGTCATGATGAATCTTCATATGATTTAAACATTCACTTACCACTTTCCAGCTTCAGACGTTTAATTTGTTTCTTCACCTAAATCACATAACAGAATTGAATACATTAAAAACACATTTAATTGCTATGCATATCTCCTTTATCATGGGATGGGGGGGGGGTTCTTGCTGTATTTTTTGCTGTTATTATCTGTGTTTGGTAAAACTAAGTATTCATAAATAATATATAAAATAATTGTATGCATGTCTATACCAGGAATTTTCTGGATCAAAATGGGGCTTAGGTGGTGGGCCATGGGACTGGCCAATGGTGCGGTTGATGACCAAACATTTTAGAGGCCCTCTTTTAGGCCGCAGTGACAAAATGTAGCGGTTTTAAAGCCAATTTCCTGCAATTCTATAAAATGTTGCCATGTGGCAGAGATAACATTTAGCAGTTTTCAAGCTTATTTCCTGAATTCTACACATTTTGCCATGACTTATGCTATCTAAGGGACTCAAGCAATACAACAAAATCAATGGGGGACCCATGCAATGACATAAATACTCCTGAATGCATCATTTTTGGAATTTTAGATTCTCCCTGACTGTCTTGCTTTATTTTGGTGATTCGTTCTCAAATATTATCTTATTTTACAATGTATAGGTCCATTATCGTTTCTACATACTTTATATCTGGTTTTAGTGGTTTAATTTAACACTTAAAATGGTTTTCCATCCCATGTAAAACAAATTACAATAAAACAAAATACATAAATAAATAAATATATACAGTGGGGAAAAAAAGTATTTAGTCAACCACCAATTGTGCAAGTTCTCCCACTTAAAAAGATGAGAGAGGCCTGTAATTTTCATCATAGGTACACGTCAACTATGACAGACAAAATGAGGAAAAAAAATCCAGAAAATCACATTGTAGGATTTTTAATGAATTTATTTGCAAATTATGGTGGAAAATAAGTATTTGGTCAATAACAAACGTTTCTCAATACTTTGTTATATACCCTTTGTTGGCAATGACACAGGTCAAACGTTTTCTGTAAGTCTTCACAAGGTTTTCACACACTGTTGCTGGTATTTTGGCCCATTCCTCCATGCAGATCTCCTCTAGAGCAGTGATGTTTTGGGGCTGTCGCTGGGCAACACGGACTTTCAACTCCCTCCAAAGATTTTCTATGGGGTTGAGATCTGGAGACTCCAGGACCTTGAAATGCTTCTTACGAAGCCACTCCTTCATTGCCCGGGCGGTGTGTTTGGGATCATTGTCATGCTGAAAGACCCAGCCACGTTTCATCTTCAATGCCCTTGCTGATGGAAGGAGGTTTTCACTCAAAATCTCACGATACATGGCCCCATTCATTCTTTCCTTTACACGGATCAGTCGTCCTGGTCCCTTTGCAGAAAAACAGCCCCAAAGTATGATGTTTTCACTCCCATGCTTCACAGTAGGTATGGTGTTCTTTGGATACAACTCAGCATTCTTTGTCCTCCAAACACAACGAGTTGAGTTTTTACCAAAAAGTTATATTTTGGTTTCATCTGACCATATGACATTCTCCCAATCCTCTTCTGGATGCACTCTAGCAAACTTCAGACGGGCCTGGACATGTACTGGCTTAAGCAGGGGGACACGTCTAGCACTGCAGGATTTGAGTCCCTGGCGGCGTAGTGTGTTACTGATGGTAGGCTTTGTTACTTTGGTCCCAGCTCTCTGCAGGTCATTCACTAGGTCCCCCCGTGTGGTTCTGGGATTTTTGCTCACCGTTCTTGTGATCATTTTGACCCCACGGGGTGAGATCTTGCGTGGAGCCCCAGATCGAGGGAGATTATCAGTGGTCTTGTATGTCTTCCATTTCCTAATAATTGCTCCCACAGTTGATTTCTTCAAACCAAGCTGCTTACCTATTGCAGATTCAGTCTTCCCAGCCTGGTGCAGGTCTACAATTTTGTTTCTGGTGTCCTTTGACAGCTCTTTGGTCTTGGCCATAGTGGAGTTTGGAGTGTGACTGTTTGAGGTTGTGGACAGGTGTCTTTTATACTGATAACAAGTTCAAACAGGTGCCATTAATACAGGTAACGAGTGGAGGACAGAGGAGCCTCTTAAAGAAGAAGTTACAGGTCTGTGAGAGCCAGAAATCTTGCTTGTTTGTAGGTGACCAAATACTTATTTTCCACCATAATTTGCAAATAAATTCATTAAAAATCCTACAATGTGATTTTCTGGATTTTCTTTTCTCAATTTGTCTGTCATAGTTGACGTGTACCTATGATGAAAATTACAGGCCTCTCTCATCTTTTTAAGTGGGAGAACTTGCACAATTGGTGGCTGACTAAATACTTTTTTTCCCCACTGTGTATGTATATATATATATATATATATATATATATATATATATATATATATATATATATATATACACACACACACACTACAGTTCAAAAGGGGCCCCTTGTAGCTCAGTTGGTAGAGCATGGCGCTTGCAACGCCAGGGTTGTGGGTTCGTTTCCCACGGGGTGCCAGTATGAAAAATGTATGCACTCACTAACTGTAAGTTGCTCTGGATAAGAGCGTCTGCTAAAATGACTAAAATGTAAACGTTTGGGGTCACATTTCCTTGTTTTCGAAAGAAAAGCCATTTTTTGGCCCATTAAAAGAACATCAAAATTGATCAGAAATACAGTGTAGACATTGTTAATTTTGTAAATGGCTATTGTAGCAGGAAACGGCTGATTTTTTATGGAATCTCTACATAGGCGTACAGAGGCCCATTATCAGCAACCATCAGTCCTGTGTTCCAATGGCACGCTGTGTTTGCTAATCCAAGTTTATCATTTTAAAAGGCTAATTGATCATTAGAAAACCCTTTTGCAATTATGTTAGCACAGCTGAAAACTGTTGTGCTGATTAAAGAAGCAATAAAATAACTTTCTTCTGAAACTCGTCAGTCTATTCTTGTTCTGAGAAATTAAGGCTATTCCATGTGAGAAATTACCAAGAAACTGAAGATCTCGTACAACGCTGTGTACTACTCCCTTCACAGAACAGCGCAAACTGGCTCTAACCAGAATAGAAAGAGTGGGAGGCCCCGGTGCACAACTGAGCAAGAGGACAAATACATTAATGTCTAGTTTGAGAAACAGACGCCTCACAGGTCCTCAACTGGCAGCTTCATTAAATAGTACCCGCAAAACACCAGTCTCAACGTCAACAGTGAAGAGGCGACTCTGGGATGCTGACCTTCTAGGCAGAGTTGCTCAGTTGTGCACCGGGGCCTCCCACTCCTCTTTCTATTCTGGTTAGAGCCAGTTTGCGCTGTTCTGTGAAGGGAGTAGTACACAGCGTTGTACAAGATCTTCAGTTTCTTGGCAATTACTCGCATGGAATAGCCTTCATTTCTCAGAACATGAATAGACTGATGAGTTTCAGAAGAAAGTTATTTGTTTCTGGCCATTTTGAGCCTGTAATCGAACCCACAATTGCTGACGCTCCAGATACTCAACTAGTCTCAAGAAGGCCAGTTTTATTGCTTCTTTAAATCAGCACAACAGTTTTCAGCTGTGCTAACATAATTGCAAAAGGGTTTTCTAATGATCAATTAGCCTTTTAAAATGATAAACTTGGATTAGCAAACACAACGTGCCATTGGAACCCAGGACTGATGGTTGCTGATAAATGGGCCTCTGTACGCCTATGTAGATCTTCCATAAAAAAAAAAAATCAGTTTCCAGCTACAATTGCCATTTACAACATTAACAATGTCTACACTGTATTTCTGATCAATTTGATGTTATTTTAATGGACCAAAAAATTGCTTTTCTTTCAAAAACAAGGACATTTCTAAGTGACCCCAAACTTTTGAACGGTAGTATATATATATATATATATATATATATATATATATTATATATATATATATATATATATATATATATATAATATATATATATATATATATATATATATATACATATATATATATATATATACATATACACACACCATTTTTTTTTTTTTTTTTTGGACATAGGCGGCCCGAAAAAATACTTAAGGGGCCCACCCAATAATTTTCTATGCAGAAAAAATCCTGTATACCAATAAAAATCAGTCACTAAAACATCAGCATTGGAATGTTAAAAGGAGTATTGCTGTTAATTTACCTGCTCAAGACATGGGCTGCTTTCTGGGTCAACTTCGATGCACTTCTCAATGACCTCCCTTAGTCTTTGAACAGTTGGGTAATGCATGAGAAGCATCACAGTGTCGGTTTTGCTGCCCTTGCAGACCGTGTTCTTCAGCAGAGCCCTCATGGAGTTCAGGGTGGTCTTCATGAGGTCCCACTCCATACTGACGCTGGGTAGAACAGCCACCAGTCTGAGCAGCATGGTCACTGTGGGATGGCTTTGAGACTCTGGGTGAAGCAGTATCTCAGAGATAGAAGCTGGTGGTGAGATGTCCTGATATTTATCTTTCCACACTGTGGCCCAGTTACTGATATCCTGCTCTACTGTGTCAGGATCAGGGAGGTCAGACAGGTAGAGACTGTATAGCTTGTCTGTGGACTCTGCACGGATTGGCTCTGAAATGGGCTGTGGATTGCAGGTGGGAAGCAGAGACAGGATCTTCAAGGCTTTTAAATGACTGTCGGAGAAGTTGTACTTCATTTCATCAATGAGGCAGCTCAGTAGAGGAACACTCAAGTTGTCCCTGTAGTACATCTCTGGAGACTCGTAAGAATTAGCTTCTTCTGGGAAACACACTTGCTGAGTGGCCACCTTGGATGCTAGTTGGAATGCCTCTTCAAACCAAGGTGAGTGTACAGTGCTTATGTTCTCCAGCATCTTGTTCAGTGTCTCTATGATTGGTACGATCTTCTCCACCTCACAGATGATGTCAGCAGGGTTACCACAGCGAAAGACAGTGCTGCAGTTTCGAAGAGGAGCACAGGCGTTCTTCAGGATCACAAGTGTGACGACAAAATCCACATCTCTCAAAGCAGTGGCGAGGACCTGTGCATGTAGTGACATAGTGCCCGTGGCACTGGAACTAACTGAATCCAGGCAACTCAAGACTCCCTCCAATGTGTCGACTAGGAGATCAAAAAAGTCCTCCCTCTTCTTCCACCTGGAGCAACAGGTTTCTGGAATCTCCTCCAAGGCCTCTCGAGGTATATTCAGTAACCCATCCACGGCCTGTGCTAGCTCTGCCTCCAGTCCAGGTGACTGGTCAAAGAACAGTAGAAGGTCTTCCACAATTCCCAGAATCTTTGTGACAGGTGGGCAGTGTACACTTCCTGCTAGCCAACAGGCAAGACCACAAGACTCACTGGGTGTGATGACAGACAGAGGATAGCTCTTGAGAAACTCCAAAGACATCTTCTTCAGGCTGTGACAACTTGAGCCCATGCGCATGAATGCTTGTCCACGACACTGACTCATTGGCAATCCCCAGTCTTCGGTTATAGTTGCTGAAAGATTTTTGGCTTGAACATCAACATCACAGGTTTCAAAAAATCGCAAAAAACCAATGAGCTCTACCTTGGGGGCACATTCCCCAACATATCTGACGAAGACAGGCAGATAGCTCTTATTAGCAATTACAACAAGTTTATCTGTGATAAGAGAAAAGAAGGGGGACTCCTGTATTTCTAAGAGTATGACTTCCCTAATGGATTTTGTGAGAAGCTGTACCATTTCCTCCTCTCCTACGTTAAGAGTGAACTTGCCATCTCTTCCAAACCAGTGGCACAGGCCGAGATCCTGTATGAGAAGAACATGATCTTCTTTGGAGAGTTCGGAGAGCTGCCACTTCTTTTTCCCTAGACGTGCAGCCAGTCTGAACACCGTTTCCAAACTCTGTCGATTATCTCCAGTGTGCCCATTCTCATCCACCGCTTTCATTTCCAGGTTCTCTTTCTTGTCAGAAGACTGATTCTCAAGCTCCTCTGTTCTATCTTTGCCATGATCCACTGAAAATATAAAAAGGTAAATTATTTAGTTCAAATTCTATAAATCTTCTAGAATAGAGAGTTCATTTAATTCGTCACTTGACAAAACCTGGGCCCATCCCTATTACCGAACATATACTAAATGGTAACAGTGTTATTACATAGGTATTTCCTAATAATTACTTCATGGTCACATGGGGATTCATTGTAACAAAGCTTTGCTATCACACACCTTCAATTTTGGCTTCAGGGTTCTTCATCAGACTTTTGGATTCCTTATCCTGAAAGAAAAAAAGAAAGAAACATTAAAAGGAAATAATTTCCTTAAAAATGACAACATTTTAGTATAGGCTGCTCTGAAAAACTACATATGCCTAATGTATTACACAAAACAATCAATCATGGAAGTTTATTTAAACAGTGAAACTTACCAAGCAGATGCCCTCTAAAGCCTGGGGAGTGACCTTCAAGCACTTAGTCACCATCCGGTCCAGATCTCTGCTGAAGTTGGTTCCCACTTGCAGCATGGCTAGACATGGGGACCTGTCCTTGGGGCTGGTGTTCCTCAGGTATTCCTGGAACATCTTGTGGCGCATCACTTCCCCACAGTTCTCCAGTACTGTGCTGGGTAACACAGACATGATCCTCAGCAGTGTGTTGATGTTCCCAAAGTATTGCATGAGTGGCAGACGGAGAGTCTGAAAGATGGTGTCTGGGATGGTCACTGACGCAACTTTGGTCTTCCACTTCACCCTCCAGCAGCACAACTCGGTGAAGAAGTTGTCGGAGTCAGGTAGATCACTGGCGTAGAGAGGAGGCTTTGACCTCAGGATCTCAAACATGTAACTCACAGTCACAGAGCAGGGAACCAGGGAGAGGAAGTTTAGGGCCTCCTTGTGGTCCTCAGAGAAATGATCCTTCACAGCATTGGTGAGGTTGTCCACTAGGGGCACACTCAGTGCATCTTTGTAATACAGAGCTGGTTTCATCATGCTATCCCTGGATGCAGATGAATTATCAGGCACTTTTATCTGCACACCTAGACTCTGGGAAAGGGCACAAGCTTCGTCAAACCAATTCTGGTGAAATACTTTGATGTTTGTTTTGACCCTGTTGAGAGTAGCCACTATACCACTGATCTGGCAGAGCTGGGACGCTGCGCTGAAATGATCCTTCTGGAGTCCTGCACTCAACTCCCTGGTGAAGGATGAGGTGTTCTTCAGGGCTACCATGGGCACAATGAAATCAAAGTCCCTTATCAAACGCAGCAGTGCTCCAGCTTTTAGCGAGAGTGAGGATTTCCACCTCTGTGGGTTGCTCTTGATTTTCTCCAAACATTCGACAAGGGGCTCCAGCATCTGCACAAAGACTTCATAGGAATCATGCTTCTCCTGCCAAACGGTACAGAACTTCCCCTGCAATTCTTGAACCTTTTCATAGCTTTCCCTAAGACCAAATGCAATGACATGATCCAGCTGTTTCTCAAGCATAGGCGTGCTCCCAAAAAACATCAAAACCTCTTCAAAAACATCCAGGGCCCTTTTGACTGATGACACAGGGGTGGATTTTGACCACCATGTGTTAAAGGAGTAACAAGAGCAGTGTGTGCATATTGCAAGGGGGTACTTTTCCTGGATTTTGCAGGCAAAGGCTTTCAGCTTGTAGGAGACATCGCCGGATCCTAGGTAGGCTTGACCTCTGCAGTAACACAAATCTAGATGCCACTCTTTGGTGACAATTTCCAATATGCGCTCTGACATGGCATCACAGTCAAGATCCACATCCAGAAATCCCATGAGCTCCAATCGCATGACATCAAAACTGTCCACAAACCTGAGGAAGAGGGGAAGATGTTTTTTCTCCCCTAACTTCACAACGCGGTCGATGAACAGAGAAAAAAAGGAAGTGCCCACCTCCACAAGAATTCCCTCCCTGACTGCATCCTCACATACTCTGAGAACTTCTTCCATCTCAGACTTCGACACATATTTCAATGAGTCTTCAACCTCGCCATCCTGTTCAGCAGAGGCCTCACCAGGCTGTCTGCTCTGGCTGTTATATGCAGCTGTCACAGCAACCTGCAGAGCAGATTTGAGTGCCTCCTTATTAGTTTCTGTGGCTGGGAGTTTCAGTTGCCCCACTCTCTCGGTCTCCAGCTCGGAAGCCATGTCCTGTGGTTCTTCTTGTGTTTCTTCAACATTCTCCTTTAGAGTGTGATTCCCATCATTCTCAGAGACTGGTTCTGAAATAAATCAGTGAAGCGCATGAGCCAAGAAGGAATAATTAATAAAACATAGGTATAAAGGCAAATATTTTGATATATACACACAATGGGGCAATAAATATTATAAAATATATATTAATCCGTACCAGCTTCAGGCTGCATCTCTATTACCTCATCATCCTATGAACACAGAAAATAAAAACATTAGCAAAATAACGCTTTTGTTCCGTTACGGAGACCTACAAATGCAAATATTAGTAAGAAAACAAGTTAAGAAATATCCAACACCCACTTATGGTACCTTCATTTTGTTTTGTTTTTCAAATTATTTGAAATCTTCCGTTTATTTGATTGCTAAGCAAAAAACAACAAGAACACATAACTTTTATATTAAAATAAACTTACCATATGCAAAAACTGCAATATGTCAGGATGCTTCTCCACATAGGACTCAACCATGTCTTCCACATTGAAGTGCACGTCTTGATTGACATAGACAAATGCCATGTTGCACAGTCTCTGATCCTCCGGTGTGGCTTTCAGGTAGGACTGGTACCGCTCCAGCACCATGTTGTACTGCCCATACACGTCTGCCTCTGCGTTCACACAAGGGATGGTGCCCAAAACTCTCAGCAGGCTCTGCACATTTGGGTAAAATGCAATGTCTGGGATTTTCAATGTTGCAAACACTGTTGTGGGCAGGATCCTCCGCTTGCTAGCATGTCTCCACTTCACCTCCCAGCAACCAAGCTCATCATAAAACGTGTCAGGCCGGGCAAGGTTGTTCAAGTTTGCGTCCGCCACTTTATCCCTGCGGATACTGAAATTGTGGTCAGCCATGTAAGACGGCACCAATGAGAGCCATCTCAGAATCCGTACCATCTCAGTGCTGAACACCCTCTTTACCTCCGCAACAAGGTACTGTAAGATCTGCCTGCTCAGAGTCTCTCTGTAGAAATCCTCCAGAGGGGTTTCAGTTGCACCTGCCTCGCCCATCTCAGGTGAGCTCTCCTCCGGCCTAGCGACCTCCACTCCCAGCTTCTTAGCCCTGCCCACCGCATCAGAAAACCACTTCCTGTGGAATATTGCGATCTCCTGCAGATGTTTGTTGACCAGCTTTAAGGCGTTGGAGATTGTGTACTGCAAGGTGCTGCTGATGCTGATGGCTCCCCTGAGACTCGGGTTGAGGATGCTCACGCAACAGAGGGTATTCTTCAGAACAACCAGGGTGATAATGAAATTGAAGTTCTTCAGGATCGGCTTGAGCTTGGCCATCTGCTCACACGTAGCTGTGTCTGCGTTTGCAGTCGAGCACACCTCGTTGATGCAGGCGAGGAATGGCTCAAGAATGTCCAACATGGTCTGGAAGGCATCAACACCATACTCCCAGGTGTTCTGGGAAGCCTCTATGATCCTGTCCACTTCACCTTTAAGGTGGCCGTATGATGACTTGATTTTCACCTCCAGTCTTTCCCAAAGATCTGGGGATCCTCTAAGCATTGTGGCGACCTCCTCCACGGTGTTCACAACCTTCTGGATAGAAGGTATGGGCATGGAGCGGATAAGCCACATGTTAAAGGCGTATGGGTCACTAGGTGCTAGCACTACCTGAGGAAACTCCTGCAGAATCCTGCTGGTGAGATCCTTCATTTTCTGACATAGACTGCCTGTGGTCAGGTAGGTAAGTCCTCGACAATGCTCCATCCGCAGCCCCCACTTATTCCGAATTTCTGAAAGCAGCATGTAAAACAGACCCTCAGCATCTGCATAACAGGGCAGGAAACCCATGAGGTGTTTCTGAGGGAACCCTGCCACTGTGACGGACCTGATGAAAACTGGGATCTGATCTTTTCCCTCGATGTTTGTCACATCTTGTAGCAGGATGGAGAAAAAGCGTGCCAACCTCAAACTGTTCCGGATCTCCTCCCGCATGAGGTCCTCGCTGAACTGGAGGACTTCTTTCTGGTCGATTTTTTCAACACAGATGGGGTTGAGAGACTGTTGTCCTCTGTGGTCTCCCATTGGCTCATCTGTGTTGGGGTTTGCATCGTTCCCTATGCTGAATCCAGTGAAGGCAAGGGTTTCCTTGAAGTAGACTTTAAGGACTTCCTTTGCTTTGGAGTTGGCGACATCCTCTCTCCTTTGGTCCTCTTGCTGTAAATCACATGTTGTACTATTCTCTCCTGGCTTATCTTTCACCTCAGATGGAGCATCATCTTCTGTAGTAAAGGAGAAAACATGGACCGGAAATTGAAAAAGTGTTACTGAATAAATATGTTGAGCAATTTCTGCAAATACCCTATTAAAAGGTGTACTTTCCTTACTTAACATATAGGCTTTGACAATACAGACCACATGAATATGCACTGCCATTAAGTTGCTACCCAACTACATGTCATTCTTGGTAGGAAAATAGATGAAAGCATTTTGCAGTGAGTGCCCAAATATGGAAATATTATATTCTTATGGTAAAACAAACAACAAATGAGAAGAAATAGATTTACCAAACCAATCCCCTTTAGCCTTCTTCAAGGATGCAAGCTCCGCCTCAGTCTAAATGGATAAAATACATACTTAGTCAGATGTAAACTGGAATAAATGCAATGGTATCAGATTATACACTTACTGAGATCAGGTTTGGATGACTATATTGGGTACAACATCATGACTTTATATGGGACACTATAAACTACTTGTGTGTTTTAACATGACAATACTTACAGGTTCTCTTATTCTCTTATTCCTGTTGCGGCCTGATGGATTGTTCAAATGGCTTGTAAAATCAAATATGGTTGGAATAGCACCCTCTTTCAAGGATGTTCTTAAAGTGCTCTGAAAAAGAAACAAGCAAATCATTATGACAATTCCAACGCCACTCTGTTGCATGCCTGAGAGTAAGAACCTACAGGGAGAAGCATGACCTATTAATACTGATAAAACCTTGTTTTCAATAGAGACCTACCAGTGGTCTTCAGATAGACCTAGTGCATTACGATTACGCTAGTCCCAACAAAGGTCTACATGACTTAAACATCCAGTATATGGGAGACCTATTCTACAATAGTTTTTGATTCTCCTAAGCACGTGACAAGACATTATTTCCAGTGGACAAGAGATTTCCCTCTGAGAGCCATGTACATAATATAATATATATTCTTATTGTCACATACATTTACGTCATTTAGCAGACGCTCTTATCCAGAGCGACTTACAGTTAGTGAGTGCATACATAATTTTTTTTTTTTTTTTTCATACTGGCCCCCCATGGGAATCGAACCCACAACCCTGGCGTTGCAAATGCCATGCTCTATCAACTGAGCTACATCCTCGGAGTCTCGGAACTCTACGGACAATTCCTTCGACCTCATGGCTTGGTTTTTGCACTGTCAACTGTGGGACCTTATATAGACAGGTGTGTGCCTTTCCAAATCATGTCCAATCAATTGAATTTACCACAGGTGGACTCCAATCAAGTTGTAGAAACCTCTCAAGGATGCAACTGAGCTCAATTTCAAATCTCATAGGAAAGGGTCTGAACACTTATGTAAATAAAGGTATATGTTTTTTTTTTTTTTTTTTTATACATTTGCAAAAATTTATAAAAACCTGTTTTCACTTAGTCATTATGGGGTATTGTGTGTAGATTGCTGAATAAGGCTGTAACGTAACAAAATGTGGAAAAAGGGAAGGGGTCTGAATACTTTCCGAATGCACTGTAACTAGTGATGGCCAATATTATATCGATACATTGACTCCGGGTATCAATTTGTTTAAAAAAATAAAATAAATACAGTGGGGAAAAAAAGTATTTAGTCAGCCACCAATTGTGCAAGTTCTCCCACTTAAAAAGATGAGAGAGGCCTGTAATTTTCATCATAGGTACACGTCAACTATGACAGACAAATTGAGAAGAAAAAAATCCAGAAAATCACATTGTAGGATTTTTAATGAATTTATTTGCAAATTATGGTGGAAAATAAGTATTTGGTCACCTACAAACAAGCAAGATTTCTGGCTCTCACAGACCTGTAACTTCTTCTTTAAGAGGCTCCTCTGTCCTCCACTCGTTACCTGTATTAATGGCACCTGTTTGAACTTGTTATCAGTATAAAAGACACCTGTCCACAACCTCAAACAGTCACACTCCAAACTCCACTATGGCCAAGACCAAAGAGCTGTCAAAGGACACCAGAAACAAAATTGTAGACCTGCACCAGGCTGGGAAGACTGAATCTGCAATAGGTAAGCAGCTTGGTTTGAAGAAATCAACTGTGGGAGCAATTATTAGGAAATGGAAGACATACAAGACCACTGATAATCTCCCTCAATCTGGGGCTCCACGCAAGATCTCACCCCGTGGGGTCTAAATGATCACAAGAACGGTGAGCAAAAATCCCAGAACCACACGGGGGGACCTAGTGAATGACCTGCAGAGAGCTGGGACCAAAGTAACAAAGCCTACCATCAGTAACACACTACGCTGCCAGGGACTCAAATCCTGCAGTGCCAGACGTGTCCCCCTGCTTAAGCCAGTACATGTCCAGGCCCGTCTGAAGTTTGCTAGAGTGCATTTGGATGATCCAGAAGAGGATTGGGAGAATGTCATATGGTCAGATGAAACCAAAATATAACTTTTTGGTAAAAACTCAACTCGTCGTGTTTGGAGGACAAAGAATGCTGAGTTGCATCCAAAGAACACCATACCTACTGTGAAGCATGGGGGTGGAAACATCATGCTTTGGGGCTGTTTTTCTGCAAAGGGACCAGGACGACTGATCCGTGTAAAGGAAAGAATGAATGGGGCCATGTATCGTGAGATTTTGAGTGAAAACCTCCTTCCCATCAGCAAGGGCATTGAAGATGAAACGTGGCTGGGTCTTTCAGCATGACAATGATCCCAAACACACCGCCCGGGCAACGAAGGAGTGGCTTCGTAAGAAGCATTTCAAGGTCCTGGAGTGGCCTAGCCAGTCTCCAGATCTCAACCCCATAGAAAATCTTTGGAGGGAGTTGAAAGTCTGTGTTGCCCAGCGACAGCCCCAAAACATCACTGCTCTAGAGGAGATCTGCATGGAGGAATGGGCCAAAATACCAGCAACAGTGTGTGAAAACCTTTGACCTGTGTCATTGCCAACAAAGGGTATATAACAAAGTATTGAGAAACTTTTGTTATTGACCAAATACTTATTTTCCACCATAATTTGCAAATACATTTATTAAAAATCCTACAATGTGATTTTCAGGAAAAGAAATTCTCGATTTGTCTGTCATAGTTGACGTGTACCTATGATGAAAATTACAGGCCTCTCTCATCTTTTTAAGTGGGAAAACTTGCACAATTGGTGGCTGACTAAATACTTTTTCCCCCCACTGTGTGTGTATATATATATATATATATATATATACACACTGAGATCATGTGACAGATCATGTGACATTTAAATAAAGTCCACCTGTGTGCAATCTAACTAATTATGTGACTTCTGAAAGTAATTGGTTGCACCATTTAAGTCATTTAGCAGACGCTCTTATCCAGAGCGACTTACAGTTAGTGAGTGCATACATTATTTTTCATTTTTCATACTGGCCCCCCGTGTGAATCGAACCCACAAGCCTGGCGTTGCAAACGCCATGCTCTACCAACTGAGCTATATCCCTGCCGGCCATTCCCTCCCCTACCCTGGACGACGCTGGGCCAATTGTGTGCCGCCCCATGGGTCTCCCGGTCACGGCCGGCTACGACAGAGCCTGGATTCGAACCAGGATCTCTAGTGGCACAGCTAGCACTGCGATGCAGTGCCTTAGACCACTGCGCCACTCGGGAGACATATGCACACACCACTTTTCTGTTATTTATTTTTTAGAACTGTTTTAAACAAGTTATGTTTTTAATTTCACTTCACCAATTTGGACTATTTTGTGTATGCCCATTACATGAAATCCACATAGAAATCAATTTAAATTACAGGTTGTAATGCAACAAAATAGGAAAAACACGAAGGGGGATGAATACTTTTGCAAGGCACTGTAGCTTGTTCCCCATCTTCTTTTTAAATAGTGAGCCAATAACATGTTTTCAACACTTATTACCATGACTGATCAAAACTCATTTTCACATGCTCTCTCGTCTCTCTGCAGCAGACATACACTGCTCAAAAAAATAAGGGAAAACTTAAACAACACATCCTAGATCTGAATGAATGAAATAATCTTATTAAATAATTTTTTCTTTACATAGTTGAATGTGCTGACAACAAAATCACACAAAAATTATCAATGGAAATCAAATTTATCAACCCATGGAGGTCTCAAAATTAAAGTGGAAAACCACACTACAGGCTGATCCAACTTTGATGTAATGTCCTTAAAACAAGTCAAAGTTAGGCTCAGTAGTGTGTGTGGCCTCCACGTGCCTGTATGACCTCCCTACAACGCCTGGGCATGCTCCTGATGAGGTGACGGATGGTCTCCTGAGGGATCTCCTCCCACACCTGGACTAAAGCATCCGCCAACTCCTGGACAGTCTGTGGTGCAATGTGGCGTTGGTGGATGGAGCGAGACATGATGTCCCAGATGTGCTCAATTGGATTCAGGTCTGGGGAACGGGCGGGCCAGTCCATAGCATCAATGCCTTCCTCTTGCAGGAACTGCTGACACACTCCAGCCACATGAGGTCTAGCATTGTCTTGCATTAGGAGGAACCCAGGGCCAAGCGCACCAGCATATGGTCTCACAAGGGGTCTGAGGATCTCATCTCGGTACCTAATGGCAGTCAGGCTACCTCTGGCGAGCACAAGGAGGGCTGTGCGGCCCCCCAAAGAAATGCCACCCCACACCATGACTGACCCACCGCCAAACCGGTCATGCTGGAGGATGTTGCAGGCAGCAGAACGTTCTCCACGGCGTCTCCAGAATCTGTCACGTCTGTCACATGTGCTCAGTGTGAACCTGCTTTCATCTGTGAAGAGCACAGGGCGCCAGTGGCGAATTTGCCAATCTTGGTGTTCTCTGGCAAATGTCAAACGTCCTGCACGGTGTTGGGCTGTAAGCACAACCCCCACCTGTGGACGTCGGGCCCTCATACCACCCTCATGGAGTCTGTTTCTGACCGTTTGAGCAGACACATGCACATTTGTGGCCTGCTGGAGGTCATTTTGCAGGGCTCTGGCAGTGCTCCTCCTGCTCCTCCTTGCACAAAGGCAGAGGTAGCGGTCCTGCTGCTGGGTTGTTGCCCTCCTACGGCCTCCTCCACGTCTCCTGATGTACTGGCCTGTCTCATGGTAGCGCCTCCATGCTCTGGACACTACGCTGACAGACACAGCAACCTTCTTGCCACAGCTCGCATTGATGTGCCATCCTGGATGAGCTGCACTACCTGAGCCACTTGTGTGGGTTGTAGACTCCGTCTCATGCTACCACTAGAGTGAAAGCACCGCCAGCATTCAAAAGTGACCAAAACATCAGCCAGGAAGCATAGGAACTGAGAAGTGGTCTGTGGTCACCACCTGCAAAACCACTTCTTTATTGGGGGTGTCTTGCTAATTGCCTATAATTTCCACCTGTTGTCTATTCCATTTGCACAACAGCATGTGAAATGTATTGTCAATCAGTGTTGCTTCCTAAGTGGACAGTTTGATTTCACAGAAGTGTGATTGACTTGGAGTTACATTGTGTTGTTTAAGTGTTCCCTTTATTTTTTTGAGCAGTATATATTGAGCAATATTGTTTGCATCAATATGCCTTCAACAATAAATATAGAATTGGGAGCATCGCAATACAACTCGTATCGGCACCTAAGTATCGTGATAATATAGTTTCGCGAGGTCCCTGGCAATTCCCAGCCCTTAATAACAACTGGTCTCTTCAGTAAATAATAATACTTACGTCACGACAGATCAAGGAAGGCTCAAAATGATTTGCACAAATTTTGAAGGAATTGTGCAACTCCTCAGGGGTTTTTGGCTCCAAGTCAGATCGATGACAATTATTTAACCATTGTTTACATCTGAAAGGAAAAATTCACAGGATTAGATTTCAAAACTGCAATATGGATAGGCCTGCCCCCATGTTATAGACCGATGAACAAGATCTATCTGCATATCATTAGCAAATCATTCTGTGACTGTACCTGTTTAGCGACATGGAAGGTAGGCCTAAATCCATAAACCACGGTAATGGAATTGCACTGAGACTCCGATTTTTCACACAAAACAAAAACCATTGATTTCAAAGTTTAACAAATCATCTAACTCTATGAACAAGGACTACTTCAAACAATTTACACAGACATTTTTACAAACACACATTTACTGGAAGAACTGTGCAGATGCAAAGTTAGGTAACAGAATTTCGGTAAAATCTCCCTCAGTTTTTCTGCATGACCACGTTTGCCCAAAAAAATCTTAAATCTGCTCCGAATTAAGATTCAAATATGTCTGCAGAAAGAATGGGGTGTCAGCTATTATATGACACATTGGGTTTGAAAAAAATCTGTTTTGGTTATTGAACTACAGTAAGTGAAGTGGACTTACACCCAGTAACATAATTGTGGTAACGGAATTTCATCATGGATCTGTACTACACAGAAATGCATTGTTATGGATATAAATGTTATTCTCTTCGTGGTGATGTATCCTAAATAGGTATACAAAAAAGGTATAAACATGCAATATCCTCCTTTGCATATTTGGGCTTCATTCTACACACTGGCTATTATTTTAATGAGCTCCGCCCCCAAACAAGACCACATTTGGTTGGTCCGGACCAGACCAAATCTGAACCAATAATAGATGTCTATGTTTCACAAGTTTGGACATCAAAGTATAGTACAGTGCTCAACTGTAGTGTGCTCTACTGTACAGTACTGAACTATACTCTACTTGGGCCCTATACATTTTATTATTCTTTCTTAATGATTCTATTTTCCCAAAATTCTGTTTTCTCCGGTTTCCATTTTACCCAGTTTTTTCAGGTTTTCACTCTCAAAATCACACTTTTTTAAAAATAGAAAAACAACTAAATTGGATGTTCTATGTTCACACAATGCTTAAACCACATCAGTAGACCACTTTTGAGGTCTGTATTTTCTTTTTGACATTTCGATTTTTGGGTGTAGTTACCCTTTAATGCCAGTGGGCACCTAGCAAGAGGCTGTTGTTTAGTTGTTTTTGTAGCGCACATGTGATGGTAGAGTTTGCAAAATAAATACCGGATTGATGCAAATAACATTCTGCCAGGTAAGCATAGGCTACTTTGTAGTTAACATTTAATTTAGAAGGTTTTTGGGAAAGCCTTTCCATCTACCAGAACACTATTCATTAGCATCATCGCTAACGGCTACACAAAGTGGTAGACGCCATGGGGAATTCCCATTGCCTCTTCAGAAAGTTGCAGGAAAAACGAATCACTGATGCATCCTGTTCATGTCTTAAGATAAACTTGGTCGAATTAAAATATTTAATACATTTAGTTGATTCAATAAATTCCATTTTTAAAGTCCATTTTAATGTCTGGATTCCGTGAGTGTTCTCTGCATCGCAGATTTTATAGGGCCCTACTCTACTCCATTTTCTTTACTGTACTGAACTGTCCAAACTTGTGAAACATAAACGTCTATGATTGGTTCAGATTTGGTCTGGTCCGGACTGAACCATATCTGAACCAATTATGGATGTCTATGTTTGGGCCAAATCAAGTCCGGTCCATAAAAAAAATCTACGTTATGTCTGTGGACTTTGTAATTAAAGCCGGTTGGACCGTACCAAAAAAAGTTGCCTTTTTGGGGGATGTGGGGGGGGTAGCATCTAACAACCGGATTGAATACTTTATTGTACACTGCTCACTGATGTAAGGATGGCAATTAAATAAGAACGGTCTACCACCTTTGGATATGCCTTCCAACGTGGGACATGTACTGCTAAACAGATACAGTCATTTCAGCGTAACTTAAAGGGCGACTACACTTCCTGATTTGGCCTCGTACAGTTAGTGAGTGCATACATTTTTTCATACTGCCCCCCCGTGGGAATCAAACCCACAACCCTGGCGTTGCAAGCGCCATGCTCTACCAACTGAGCTACATGGGACCGTGTAAATGGGACAATATATTAATGTTGCACAATATTTGTATATGAATTTCTACAATTTATAGTTGCCTTGAGGTTAAGTAATTGAAATGCGGCGCTATTGACATTTAAAATATTGTCCCATGTACATTAAGTAATTTACTGATGGTCCCCAACTAGACCCATAGAGATATCAAATGTCATTACGATCGGGTCGTGTGCAGCTGCACTCTGAATTGATGATTACTTGTGTGCTGCCAGCTGTGGGCATGATTTGGACAAGACTGACTTGAAATCAAATCACATTTTATTTGTCACATGCGACAAATACAACAGGTGTAGACCTTACCGTGAAATGCTTACTTACAAGCCCTTAACCAACAATGCAGTTAAGAAAATATGTACTAAATAAAAAGATTTAAAAAGTAACACAATAAATTAATAATAGAGGGGGTACCGGTACTGAGTCATTGTGCGGGGGTACAGGTTAGTTGAGGTAATATGTACATGTAGGTAGGGGTAAAGTGACTATGCACAGATAATAAACAGCGAGTAGCAGCAGCATAAAAAAAAAAGGGGGGGGGGGGGGGGGTTGGGGGGCAACGCAAAATAGTCTGGGTAGCCTTCTGATTAACTGTTCAGCAGTCTTATGGGTTGGGGGTAGGCTGTTAAGGAGCCTTTTGGACCTAGACTTGGTGCTCCGGTACTGCTTGCCGTGCGGTAGAAAAGTCTATGACTAGGGTGGCTGGAGTATTTGATCATTTTTAGGGCCTTCCTCTGACACCGTCTGGTATAGAGGTCCTGGATGGCAGGAAGCTTGGCCCCAGTGATGTATTGGGCGGTACGCACAACCCTCTGTAGTGCCTTGCGGTCGGATGCCAAGCAGCTGCCATACAATGCAGTGATACAACCAGTCAGGATGCTCTCGATTGTGCAGCTGTAGAACATTTTGAGGATCTGAGGACCCATGCCAAATCTTTTCAGTCTCCTGAGGGGGAATAGGCATTGTTGTGCCCTCTTCACGACTGTCTTGGTGTGTTTGGACCACATCAAGGAGCTCTCGACCTGCTCAACTACAGCCCCGTCGATGTGAATGGGGGAGTGCTCGGCCCTCCTTTTCCAGTAGTCCACGATCAGCTCTTTTGTCTTGATCACGTTGAGGGAGAGGTTGTTGTCCTGGCCCCACATTGCCAGGTCTCTGACCTCCTCCCTATAGGCTGTCTCATTGTTGTCGGTGATCAGGCCTTCCACCGTTGTGTTGTCAGCAAACTTAATGATGGTGTTGGAATCATGCTTGGCCACGCAGTCGAGGGTGAACAGGGAGTACAGGAGGGGACTAAGCACGCACCCCTAAGGGGCCCCCGTGTTGAGGATCAGCATGGAGATGTGTTGTTGCCTACCCTCACCACCTGGGGGGCAGCCCGTCAGGAAGGTCCAGGATCCAGTTGCAGAGGGAAGTGTTTAGTCCCAGGGTCCTGAGCTTTGAGGGTACTATGGTGTTGACGCTGAGCTGTAGTCAATGAATAGCATTCTCACGTAGGTGTTCCTTTCGTCCAGGTGGGAAAGGACAGGGAAATAGAAATTGCCTCATCTGTGGATCTGTTGGGAGGGTATGCGAATTGGAGTGGGTCTAGTGTTTCTCGATGATGGTGTTGATGTGAGCCATGACCAGCCTTTCAAAGCACTTCATGGCTACAGACGTGAGTGCTACAGGTCGGTAGTCACTCAAGTTAATGGCTCGTCAGTGGGAAATTGTCGACACCTAGAGGTTATACGACATCAGGAAGAACTATGCCCAAGGGTCTCTGCGCTAGAGAAGCATTGGAATTAGAGGTCAACTGCCCCTAAAAAGCAACTTCTTGTTTTGAAAACGGCCTGTGGCATCGATATGAGTCACATTTATTTTAGTGTCAGAATTGACTACAAAGTTTAGATAGAATAATTTGGCAAGTGTCTTCAATGACATTTTCAACCTGTCCCTGACCGAGTCTGTAATACCAACATGTTTCAAGCAGACCACCATAGTCCCTGTGTCCAAGAATGCCAAGGTAACCTTCCTGATGTCGTATAACCTCTAGGTGTCGACAATTTCCCACTGACGAGCCATTAAATCGAGTTAAGGAGGAAACCGATGCCTTTGCATCCTGAATGGAAGATGTTTCAAGTACAAGCCGGTCCATGGGGGATGTGAGTGTATTGCCAGCTGGCCACATTAAAGTCAGATGTAAGATGACAAACGACGTAAAAGGAATAATAGCACCATCCTGTGGCTGGTTGGCTTCTACAATGTTAAGACGGAATGTTACAGTTAAAATAACTGTACTTACCGTTATTAACTGTATACATGATGGCAAACTTGCCCCCTGACCTGACTTCTGTAAGGTTACATTTCTAATGACTATTTTCAGGGGGTTTATATTCATAACGCTCACACACTCGATGCATTGACTCAACATACACTCAGTGGACAGTTTATTAGGTACACCCATCTAGTACCGGGTCGGACCCCCCTTTGCCTCCAGAACAGTCTGAATTCTTCAGGGCATGGAACCTAACGTGTCAAGAGACCTAACGTGTGCCAGCAAAATATCATCACAATTACACCACCTCCACCAGCCTGTACCTTTGACCCCAGGCCGGATGGGGTCATGGACTCATGCTGCTTACACCAAATCCTGACTCTGCCTTAAGCATTACGCAACAGGGACCAGGATTCGTCGGACCAGGCAATGTTTTTCCACTCCTTAAATTGTCCAATGTTGGTGATCGCACGCTCACTGGAGCCGCTTCTTCTTGTTTTTAGCGGATAGGAGTGGAACCCGGTGTGGTCGTCTGCTGCAATAGCCCATCCGTGACAAGGACCGACAAGCTGTGCGTTCCGAGATGCCGTTCTGCGCCGTTATTTGCCTGTTTGTGGCCCGCCTGTTAGCTTGCATGATTCTTGCCATTCTCTTTCGACCTCTCATCAACAAGCTGTTTTTCGACCACAGGACTGCCATTCTCAGTAAACCCTAGACACTGTCATTTTGCATATACAGCCTGAAACTAATGCCTGCAAAATCGTGTAAAATGTTCCTTACAAGCCAGAATGTTGAATACAATTAAATTTAAACTTTACTGGCATGCCTGGTTCAATAGCTATTGACAAGCGAAAATCGAACATCCAATATAAAACGAACTTTACCTCGGTGCCAAACCGAACATATAGAGAGCAATAGTAATGGCTAACTCCACCATGGTTGGACCAAACCTATGGGGAAATTGAGTTTTTGTAGGGTTTTTGGATAAATGCCAAAAATAAGGTCTGTGATAAACACAGGCTTAAGAGATCTTATACATTTTGTTCTAAGAGATAATCTTCATCACCTGTCACTGTGAATTTTGAAGCATTTATCTATATATATATATTTTTTGTAAGCACATAAAGGATATTGTCATAGAACAAAACGTATAAGATCTCCTAAGCCTGTGTTAACCTCAGACCTTATTTTCGGCGTTTATCCCAAAACCCTATTCTTCCCCATAGGAATGGCTGAAATAATTTATGTTTTTTAGGACTACAAGCTGGCGACCTCTATAGACGGTTTGGTTGTTTAGCAACAAAAGCGACATGTGCGCAACTATGGGGAAAAACAGACGGGGTTGGCTAGATTGTTGACAACATGTCAACTATATTTAGTCTCCAATGCTTATTGAAAAAATAAATTTGCACTTGTCTCAAATACATTGTTACAGTTGTTGGTTAGCTAGCTATTAGCATTGACATGAAATCAGTCAAAACAAGACATGGTATCAAAACCAAGATGAAACTAGCTGAAACTAGTCACTTATGATTCCCTGCATGGCAGTTTGTCATTGTTGGAAGCCATCTGGCCATCCAGAATCACAAAAACTCATGGACATCTGCCCCATTGAAGCATGTGCATCGTTTTCGGGACGTTGTCAGCTAACCCATCTATACCTACAGGCCCTCTAAAAAGTTGGGTAAACAATAACTAGCTACTTTGCTGTGGATATTTTGTCTCAAAATTCAAGCAGCGGAAGGACAAACCATGTAGACAATCGGCAGAGTAAGTTTAAATGTAATTTATTCAACATTATGGCTTGTAGGAACATTTACACGATTGTGCATGCATTAGTTTCAGGCTGTATATGCACCAATTGGGGATTTTGTGGAGGGTAAACACAGTTTAAGTACCTTTTAATTTGTGAAATAGCGTTTACTCGCCTTTTTATTTAGTTAATTAACATTTACCCACTTATTATTGTGTTCCCAGCGTTGATCAACGGTCACAATACTAATATTCTTGATCTGAGTTCTAAATCGCGACTGCCTCTCTGCGAAGAGTGGAATCACGATTTAGGTATGCTCATTATGTTCGCCTACTCCCCCCGGATTTGTCTTGTTAGCAGCATATTCATTCACCACTCTGTCCAAAGTCAAACTCCGCCCACGGCACAGGCCAAGACGTGGAACGAACTGCTTCAGCCCAGACCAGTGGTGTATAGTACTTAAGTAAAAATACTTCAAAGTACTACTTAAGTAGTTTTGGGGTGCATCTGTACTTTACTATTTATATTTTGGACTACTTTTACTTTACTACATTCCTAAAGAAAAGAATGTACTTTTTACTCCATACATTTCCCCTGACACCCAAAAGTACTCGTTAAATTTTGAATTCTTAGCAGGACAGGAAAATTGTCAAATTCACTCACTTATCAAGAGAACTTGAGTCATTTTCTATTAAGGTATCTTTACTTTTACTCAAGTATGACAATTGGGTACTTTTTCCACCACTGGCCCAGACCAAAGCTGGCAAGTGAATTGGCAGAAAGACGCCGTTGACAGTGGCCTTGTGAGATGCCGGACATAAGGCAATTTTTTTACCGTCCCGACTCCTGCCGTGTCAACAAACATCCCCCAAACAAAAAAAAAACTACTCTCTGAGAATGAGTGTACAACTGGTAAATAGTCGCTGATATTTCAGTCAGATGGCTATCCGGCTTTAAGGATGGCGTTAGAAGCTAACGTTTAACAGAGCTTGACCTCAGCAGGAGCAATTGACTGAAATTAAGCTAGCTATAATCTTAACAAAAGACAGGCTACATAAATTCACATAACAAAATAACTTTGCTTTACAGACAGTGGTGAGGCAGACCGTGGTGAAGCTGAGGCAGGCTGCAATGCAGGAGACACAGAGAGGAAGCAAGCTGAGAGGTTAAAGCGGTTCCCAAACTTGGGGTCCCCTCAAATTTAAATGGGATCCCCTGAGAGAATCTGTAATCGCATCAAACACAATAACATGTTTCTATTCAAACGCATATAGGTGTACAACATTTTAGAGTCAACTATGGGACTTTTATACAGGGGCATTTTACAAAACAGAACTGAATTGCAGTGCAGCTCACACGAGATACTAAGAACATGAACGTGATTAAAAAGATAACACATTTCAATATAAAGATATCCACATCCTATCTCTCTGGACATTTCTAGTGTCCAGTCCAAATAACTATTTTTCGAGGGCGACCTGATGTGCATTGTGTAATTTATAACTACATAAAATTACAGTAGGCCTTCCCTATAGACCTGCATGAAAATGGAATCAAACAATGCAGTTCTAAAAATGTAATGTTTTGGTTTATATCGGTGGTTGTTCGTCTGATCTCGATCGCCCACTGGAATGTATAGTTTACCCACCTTTGTTTTACCACTACATCACTGATACAAATGAATTGTGTATTACAGCCTGATTAATATGACTACCCAATTTAGCTAGCTAGCTAGCTAGCTAGCTAGAGTTCAACATTTCAAGAGGATGTTGTCAGATTAAAGATAACTTTCATAACTTTGAGGGCTGACCAGGGACCACACTCTCACTAAAACATACTTTTAATTCATCCTTAACATTACATAAATAATACTGTTTCCTTAACCATAATGTAGCCTTTTAGCAAGCTAGCTAGCTGGCTAGCAAACAACCCATATTTGCCATTACCATCAACGTTAGCACAAGCTAGGCTAGCTAGCAAGCTCGAGAGGTTTCAATGGATCAGCCAGCTAGCTAGCTTGCTAATGAAGAATACAAACTTAACTTTAAAAAGTATAGTTTGTAGTGGATTGTACACTATGTACATCTAACACAACTACATTGCACTTACCGCTCCGAGTCCAATGGAAATCTGAAAAATGGGACGTCTGATTTATCTGTATAAATATTACAATTTGGTGCGGCACAGCGGTTGGGCATTTTGGGATCCATGCACTCACTGGTTCAGAATAAATCGTGCATCGTGCAATTAATCAGAAATCCACCCGTATTGAATCTTTAGCTCAATATTTGCACAGTGTCTTGAAATTAACTTTGTACCTAGCTAGGTCATTTAATTATTTCATTCCGTAAAAAGTTGATTTGTTGAGCGGCGTTGTCGGAGTGTTCATAAACCAGGAAGAACACCTATGTAAAGCGGAAATCGACACCGCTTGGCGCATTGATCTCTGTACAATGTGCACAAATCCATATCTTTGTATTTTCCCTTCTATGTATGCAGTGGAGTATCAGTACGATCGTAATATCAAATGTATTTTGATAACTGTATTTTTGAAAGTTCCGCATATGACAACCGAGTAAATTATATCGGAATACCACGAGGCCTCAAAAACGCCTACTTGTCACGTGACAAGATGACTAAACGAGTTCATGGTTGTCAAAAACGCCTATTAAAAGCTTTGAAAACTGTGGTTGTAACAGAAATAGCTACATCTTATTATAGACATACATTGTGTTTATATTGGGGAAAAATTTACCTTATACTCTGAATTGTGTGATCAAAGCCAATTTTCTACAATTATTTCACAGAGATGCTGCTATCACACAAACTAACAGGTAGCCCCAATAAAATTGTGTAAATAAATGAATGACAATAATTGCAATTCTCATTAGAAACATTAATCTTTATTTGTAATCATTCTTACAAAAAGAACACACAGTCTTACATCAAAGCAGGTAGCCTAACAGTTAAGAGCGTTGGGCCAGTAACCGAAAGCTCGCTGGTTTCGAATCGCCGAGCAAGGCACTCAACCCTAATTGTTCCTCTTTGTCGCGCTGGATAAGAGCGTCTGCTAAATGACTAAAATGTAGCATTATTTCAATCACATTGGTCTTAGAAGAAATAACTTCCAAAAGCCTTATGTAATAAGTATACATTTCCAGTTCTGTAATTTACATAACCAGTTGCATAAACATAAAAAAAAGAGTTGAAACAGTGTTTTGTTGCATAATAAATCTTATGATTTTCACAAAAAACATATTTGCAGTGGTCATTGGTCAACTTTATACAGCCAAAATAAGTGGTTTCAAGTCAACATATTAAACATCCAATAAGTAAGAGGTCAGACCATGTCACAAATGCTGAAGACAGACTACGGTTTATACAAGAACAAGTCAACAGGCTGGCACACTTGCTCATTAGGGTCATGAAATTAATTGGATTTAACTTTCATTGTGAGGGTACATCTTAATGTAACTATCAACCATGAAGTCCAGGTCATGTCTGGCATTATAATGTATGTTCAGAAATGCCAGACTCTTGGATCTGTGTTTGTCAGGTGTGTTCTCCAGGTACATCTGAAAGCGTTTACGAGAAGCATCGCCATCCTCAAGGCCCAGGACTGGCAGGTTGCCAAGCACCCTCAAGAAGGCAAGCACATTGGGGAAGAACTTCACTTCAGCAAGCTGCAGCGTCTCATGGACAGTGGAGGGCAGGGTTACCTTGCCCCTATGCTTCCACTTCACCCTCCAGCAGTGCAGCTCAGCGGGGAGTGTGTCTGCGTTGGGAAGGTCGTTCCTGTACATCTCCACGTTGTTCTCTTCAGACGTGTTGAACTTCAGCTGCCCCATGACAGCAGGGACGAGAGTCAGATATCTCAGGGCGTTGAGGTGGTTCTCAGAGAAGAGGTCGTTCAGTTCTTTTATGACGTGGCTCACCACAGGGGCAGTCAGGTGCTCTTTGAAGTAGCTCTCTGGCTGGAGCTCTGTTTCAGTTTCTGGGCGGTGCTTTCTCAAGTACAGCCTGGGAACCTTGACCGGAATCTCTAGTGCAGCAGCTAGGTTAACAGCCTCTTCGAACCAGAACTCATGGTACACCTCAATGTTATCCAAGACCTCGTTCAGCGAGTGTAACACAGCGGTCAAACTGTTTGCAGCAAAGTAGACATCGATCGTTGGCCCTTGCAAGTTCTTGCCGAAGGCTCTTGTGAATGACAGGGTGTTTTTCAGCACAACCAACGCTGCAACAAACTCAAAATCAGCCAGAGCCTCTGATATCTCCAAGGCATTATGTGTGACTTGGTCACTCCACCTCAGATCTTCATTGTCGTGAACACAATCCACGCAGAGCAGTAGAGATTCCATGACATCGACTGCCACCTCGAATGAATCATGCCTCATTGTCCAGTTGGTGCGGCAGGCCTCTTTCAGATCATTGGCCTTCTCTTCATTGCCCTGGTAGAAAATGGAGATGGCATTCTCCAACTCCAATTGCAGTGAAGGTGACTCGTTGAAAAAAGACTCAATCTTCTTGAAAGTAGACATGACAATCTGAACACCTGTCAAAGCCACTCCACTTGCCAGTGAGACATTCAAGGCACAGGTGGAACTTGGTGTGTACACTGCTGTGGGATACTTCTCTGTGAGTTTGGTTGCAATGGCTTTCATTTTGCTGGAATGCACACCGGAGCTGAAGTGGGCCTGCCCTCTGCAGTAGTCCATATTCAAGCCCCACTTCTTTGTCACCTCATTCAGCAGCCTCTCCATCAGGGTCTCCTCGTCTCCCTCAAAAGGAAGGAATCCCACAAACTCCTCTCGCAAGCAGTTGGCCTGGTCAAAAAAACGTACGAATATGGGGATATGGCACTCACCCGAGATCTCGACCACATCGTCAGTGACCAATGAGAAGAAGTGACCCTCTCTGACTTCCTGTAAGAGTTCCTCACGGATACAACTCTCACAGACCTCCATCATCTGCCTCTGCTGTGTGGAAGTGCAGCACTCTGCGTTTAGAGCGCTCATCTCAAACCTTTTCCTGAGTTCCTCGTCACCACCAGCATTCATTCGGTACTCCAACAATGCCTGGAAATTGCTTGGAGTGAGACAGTCACTCTCCTGCACCACCTCGGTATGTCTATTCAGAGGTATGTTCTGTTTCCCCAACACAACAAGAACTTCAAATAGTGATTTGAGGTATTCTCTGTGCTTCTTCTCCTCAGAGGTCAGTTGGGAGGGGTGGTTTGTCTCAGAGTCATCTTGGCCTTCACCATCATCTTTGCTAATCTTTGATTGATCCACAGAGTCCTCTATAGGAAAATAAAGTAATATTGATAAAAAGAGGATTAGTGTAACTTTTTACCTATGTGGGTCCTGTGATACGGCATTGTCTCATGATGAAGAGGGAAAGACATCCTTCATTACTAGTCATTCAATTTAAACCTTGATTATTATTGTATTACAGTGCATTCAGAAAGTATTCAGACCCCTTGACTTCTTCCACATTTTGTTGTTACAGCCTTATTCTAAAATTGATGACTTTTTTTCTTCTTATCAATCTACACACAATACCCCATAACGACAAAGCGAAAACAGGTTTTTATAACTTTAAATGTATTACAAATACACTTATTTACATAAGTATTCAGAGCCTTCGCTATGAGACTCGAAATTGAGCTCAGGGGAATCCGGTTCCCATTGATCATCCTTGAGATGTTTCTACAACTTGATTGGAGTCCAGCTGTGGTACATTCAATTGATTGGACATGATTTGGAAAGGCACACACCTGTCTATATAAGGTCCCACAGTTGACAGTGCAAAAAACAAATGAGGTCGAAGGAATTGTCCGTAGAGCTCAGAGATAGGATTGTGTCGAGGCACAGATCTGGGGAAGGGTAGCAAAAAATGTCTGCAGCATTGAAGGTCCCCAAGAACACAGTGGCCTCCATCATTCTTAAATGGAAGAAGTTTGGAACCACCAAGACTCTTCCTAGAGCTGGCCGCCCGGCCAAACTGAGCAATCGGGTGAGAAGGGCCTTGGTCAGGGAGGTGACCAAGAACCTGATGGTCACTGACAGAGCTCCAGAGTTCCTCTGTGGAGATGGGAGAACCTTCCAGAAGGACAACCATCTCTGCAGCACTCCACCAATCAGGCCTTTATGGTAGAGTGGCCAGACGGAAGCCACTTTTCAGTAAAAGGCACAACAGCCCGCTTAGAGTTTGCCAAAAGGCACCTAAAGGACTCTCAGACCATGAGAAACAAGATTATCTGGTCTGATGAAACCAAGATTGAACTCTTTGGCCTGAATGACAAGTGTCATGTCTGGAGGAAACCTGGCACCATCCCTACGGCGAAACATGGTGGTGGCATCATCATGCTGTGGGGATGCTTTTCAGTGGCAGGGACTGGGACTAGTCAGGATCGAGGGAAAGATGAACGGAGCATAGTACCGAGAGATCCTTGATAAAAACCTGTTTCAGAGCGCTCAGGACCTCAGACTGGGACGAAGGTTCACCTTCCAACAGGACAACGACCCTAAGCACACAGCCAAGACAATGCAGGAGTGGCTTCGGGACAAGTCTCTGAATGTCCTTGAGTGGCCCTGCCAGAGTCCAGACTTTAACCCGATCTAACCTCTCTGGAGACCTGAAAATAGCTGTACAGCGACGCTCTCATCCAACCTGAATGAGCTTGAGAGGATCTGCAGAGAAGAATTGGAGAAACTCCCCAAATACAGGTGTGCCAAGCTTGCAGCGTCATACCCAAGAAGACTCAAGGCTGTAATCGCTGCCAAAGTTGCTTCAACAAATTAGTGAGTAAAGGGTCTGAATACTTACGTAAATGTGATATTTACGTTTATTTTTTATTTTAATACATTAGCAAAAATTTCAAAACACCTGTTTTTGCTTTGTCATTATGGGGTATTGTGTGTAGACTGCGGGGGAAAAAATTATTTAATCCATTTTAGAATAAGGCTGTAATGTAACAAAATGTGGAAAAAGTCAAGAGGCCTGAATACTTTCTGAATGCACTGTACATTGTGAAACAGCATGAACAAATAAAATGTTCTTCAACGTAATCAGATGCACAACTTACTTTTCCTCTCTTTCATTTGCCTTGCTTCATCATCACTCTGTAGAATATAATAGCAAGAGAGAAAGTCAGTAACAAGCTATTAGATGTCTTTAAAAATGGAAGACTTCAATACATTGAGTATTTGACTAGTGATTTGTTAAATGGAAAAGAAACCCCTACCAGGTCTTTAATCCTTTTGCGTGGCCTACTTTGTGGATTATTGAGTTGGCTTGATAAATCAAAGATGGTTGGTGTGGCATTATCCTTCAGCCTTGTTCTGTAAGGACTCTGGAAATATGAAAGATTAGATGATTAACCTACCTATCTGATGGGTGTGTAGCACTGAGGTACACATCTCTGTTCAACTACATCCATTTCAAATGTTAAACATTTCAGCTAAGCCAAAAAAACAAACAAATGCCAAGCAAATTGGATCAGCACTACTTACTGCTTTACAAATCACGGATGGTTCAAAATGCTTAGCACAAAGTCTGTAGTATCTGTTCAGCTGGTCAGGTGTTTTATCTTCAAGATCCTTGCAATGACAGTTTTCCACCCACTGCTTGCATCTGTGCGCAGACAAAACAAACAATTCTCATTCATACATGTAGCTATCATTGAATGAGATTGAACATGAAGAACTAGGTATTCAAACGCTGATCGTCAGTGACCAACGAGAAGAAGCGACCCTCTCTGACATCCTGTAAGAGCGCCTCACAGATACAACTCACAAAACAAACACAATTCTTATACATGTAGCTATCATTGAATGAGATTGAAGAACTAGTCATTCAAATACTGATGAAAATATGATTGCTATAGTCAATGGTATAATCACACAATCACATTGTGTGCTATGTTGACAACAACATGCAAACTAAAACATTGTCATTCTGAATTCTGTCTCGCTAGCAAGCTGCTTGCTGTATGTTTAAATAACCTACTGATTTGTAAACCCCAAAAGTCTAGATATTGCTAGAAGGTGGCTAAATAGCTTACACAAAGCACATATCTAGCTGAGCGCTTACGTTAGTTAGCATACCGTGCAAAGTCAAGTAAGGAACACCGTTTTAACGTACCTTTCAATGTCCCTTGGAAACCTGAAGAATGGCGATGCTGACCGATTGCTTTTCATGGTGCAATTTGGAGCTGCGCAAAAGTTTGACATCGTTTGTTTATGCTAGTATAATGCTTTTCAAAAGTAATTTACTTCAATATGAATTTATCCAGAAATTAGTAAAGAACGGACTCGCACGCAGCAGTGCTTTATGGGGCCTGAAGGAATCAACGCGACGCGCGATTAAACCACAACCTTCCCACAATGCCTTGCTAACATCGCAACCCAGTGCGCATGTCTGTCACTGTCCGTGCCTTATTCATATCGCCCGTGGTATAACAGCATTCCTTACGCCCTTCGGATCAAGACATGCCCGCACAATTATCCACACATGACATTTCAAAGGACTTTTGGCATTGTTCATGTTTGGCCCTCGAAACTCGTTAGCCAGGTATAGGGCGACAGTATTTTCTAATTTACCATATACCTATTTGACTAGCATTACGGTCTATCAAGAGGCCAGTTGGATGGTGAATAGTCAATGAAGACATGTATTTGTTAAGGTATGTTATTGTATGATTTCCCATTTCAAAAGCAATAATTCCACCAGAGAACCATTTTCGTAGAATTGTATTGAATATTGTAACTTTTCCTGGCTGTGCAACACACATTTCCTTATTTCCTACAACATGATTGGGGGTGATAAAAAGGTGTGCTGTACGTAATTAATTTATGGTAAAACCTAGTGGTAGATTAAATTATCAACTCTGCATTAAAATAATAAACAGTACATAAAACTTAACACAGTAAGACAGCAGAGAGAATATATACAATAAATAAAAGAGAAGGTGTAGCAGGTCAAGATATGGCAAATGCCTCTTCCTTATGAGAAGTAACAACTCAAAAGGGAAATAAGACAAACAGAAAACAAAAGGCATGCATAATTGAGGCACCCAGTCTTTGTGGATTAGTAAATCTTGCCACGCATAGCCCATATTATCACAATTTGGATTAACAACCATTATGGAAGGTAAGACAGCAAATAATCTGTTTTCATTATTTAAAAACCCATCAGTTCCATTTTCTTTCTCTTCCTTTTCAGGCCTCTTCGTCCCACTCATCCAAAGACTCAGATCCTCTCCAGGTCTTTGGGATGGTCAGGCAGGTCCTCCAGGAGAGCAGGGTTCTTCCTGTAGATGTAGGCGTTGGCATTGTCATCCAGATTCACCAGCTCAGCCAGCGAGGACACACAGGTGTCGTGGTCTGTCAGCATCCCAGGCAGGTGGGATGACTTGCGCTGGATGCGACAGGAACGACGGACTGGTGTCAGGAACTTCAGATCCTTGATGGTGTTTTTTCGCCTGGAACCACTTGCACATGCCTCACTGTTGATTGTTCTCTTGACACTAGAAGGGGAAAGAGATGGACATAATTGTGTGGTTAGTTGACAGCCATGTTCAGTATAATATCCATTTCAATATAGAGACGTGAAGTAGTGATGTTCTCCATGACCTCCAGAATTTGCAATAATTGTATGGAAGTGATGTCAAAATAGGTATGTTTTAAGATAAGAAATATCACCTTTGAAGATATGGAGTTGTCTTCAGATTGTATTTCACCATGGAGGCTTCCTCTGCCTCTGGTGTAGTCTCCATCAAGCATTCGTCATCATCACTATCAACTTTCTCAACATAACCCTTCCTTACTTTCTGCTCTGAAGCTCCCTCTCCTACTTCACTTTTCACTTCAACATCCTCCGATCTGTCAAAATAATTGTCAGCAAACTCATTCCTCTCTTGAAATTCATAATTTGGCTCGCTCTCCACCATTTTCTCCTCTTCAGATTCCTTATTTTTCTCATGTGGCTCTAAAAGAAAAACACACCAATGAATATAACACATTACTAAAGTTTACATGATAATAATAATATAATATGCCATTTAGCAGACGCTTTTATCCAAAGCGACTTACAGTCATGCGTGCATACATTCTTTTTGTGTATGATAAAATGTTAATCTCTTACATGATTTGAACCTTCATGTTGCATAATTTGAAATCAGACGATGCCAAGTGAGCAAGTAAATTTGACTGTTTGCTGTGAATGTAAATGTATTGACCGCAAAACTTACCATCCACACATGCTGAGGGTGTCTCCAATGCCTCCAAAGCATCACAAAGGTTGACCACAACCTGTGATAAGACATAGGACAGAGGTGGTTAGGTTATATTTAAGAGTTTTGATGAATACAACTACAGTATAAAATAAATAAATTACTAAACACAGAAGGTTTCTTACATCATTCATTCGAACCTCTGGATCAACAGGGAGAAAATCTGTATCAGAGTTGTCAAGCAGGTCAAGTGTCATGTTCATTATCAGTGGAGTTGAGGCACAGGCTGCCTCCAGCTCAGGGACCACCTGGTCATTTTTAGGCCGAACAGTCGGTTCAGGCTCAGGACCAGGTTGTTGTGACTTCTGGTCAGAGGGCTGAGGCTCAACATTGGTCTTTTGTTGAGAGAAGGCTGTGGATTCTGGGTGGACTTCAGGCTCAGGCTGCACAACTGGTTTATACTTTGGGAGTGCCACTGCTGATATGGGAGGCCTTTTCAGAGTCTTTCCCTTGGATGCCAGCCACTCTGCCAGCTTTGCTCTGGGAATCAAAGATTAAAAACATCAGTTAAACTATTTTGAGCAGTTGACCAAATTACCAACAATAACAGTTATTGGACCATTTAAGAACGTTAAACAAAAAAATGTAACCTTTTCTCTTCAGCAGTCTCTGTGTTAGCCCTGTACTGGCTTAGCGTGCTGGCAACCGGAGGCTTGCGAACGTTCTTGTCAGTTGTCATCTTAGGCTTGGTTCTCTGTGGCTGCTCTTTCCCCTTTGATGTCATGGCAGACCTACTGGACCTTTGGAGAGCTGTGGTAAACAGAACCACTCTGGCAGGAGGGACTGCAGAGCGAGAGCCTGTTGGACAGCGTGTGGCTGGGACTGGGCACTTGGAGACTACAGGAGGCCCATCGGACACAGACTTGGATCTTGAGGGTTGACATGATTGAGGGGGCTTGAACGAGGCGCGCTGAGGCAAGTCAGCAACAGCTTTGGGCCTGACCTTTGTCAAATTCCCAGGCTTTTGGCTGTCAGCTTTGGGTGCCACGGTCTTGGTAGCTGCTTTTCTTTCTACCCCTCCCTCCAGGCCACTAGGCTTCCTGAAGGAGCTTATTTTGGATTGGACAATCTTGCCTTTGTAGGTGCCAGGGACAGGTTTAGCTGGGACAGTAGCTGGCTTTGAGGGCTCTGCAACCAGTTTCCTCTCTCTGACAGCCTGTTTGGCGAGGAAGGTTTGGCTTAAAGTGTTGCGTCTCTTCATATCGCCAGCGGTTGCAGTCATGACCTTCTTCAGAGCATCTTCTCCCTTTCCTAAGTCCTCCTTTTTATTGCTTTTGGAATGCAGAGGGGCAGATGGAGAGGCCACTGTTTTAGTAGGAGCAGCTCTGGTAATAAAGGACTTAGTGGGTCCACTTGCTGGTCTGGCATTCTCTTTGTTACCCTAATAATAGCAGACAGGACAAAGAAACAAGACCGAGAGAAATCAGACATAATAGATAGATAGGCCTACTACTTTTCTGTATTAACAGAAAGAAATATCGCTACATTACCTTTTTCAAGTTGGTGTTCTTTCTTGTAACTGTATCCATTTTCTTTGTTGTCACAAATGGCAGACCCCCTAAACATTTACAAATATAGATGCTCAGTAACAGAGCTTGAATAAATAGTGAAAAAGCCCAGAAAAATTCATGTTTTACAAGGAATTCAGTTTGTATAGCTAACTAGTAAAACGTCTTATCTGTTTAGTCATATATATGGCTAGTTACCTACCCAACTAGCAGCTTAGCTACTAGTAATAATAATATTTTATATTATTATTATTATTATGTTAGATAGTTAACATTTTTCGACCACGTTGTCTTGCAAAACGCAGATTAAACGGGCTACATTTACAGACGTTAGCTAGCTGGAAACAGAGGTTGCTGGAAAATGTATCAATAAGGATGTCAATTTAACAAGCAAAGTAGATAAACAATTTCAAATCGCACTTACCTTCTAATTAAATGTATTGTAGACAAAGAGAAAAACCGACTGGCACAGCCAAAAGCTAAAACGTTTCTCGCAAAACAAACCCAGATTCAATTTTGGCGCTGTATTACGGAAAATGAGATTGGTCCGGATTGGTCGAGATGTTGTCGGGAAAACTCAATTTAGCCAATCGAATGTCTCGAGATTAGGTCATGGGACAATTTGGAGGAGGGTTTGGGCGGGTTCATCTGAGAAGAAGGCATACGTCTGTACTTTTGAATGTTTGAACCATAATAGAATTCCTAAAATACTGTCTGGCTGCTACACCCAAATCGGAGAGGGAGACAACAACATTTGATATAACTTTTATAAACATTTTATAGCCTGATTAAAATGCCCTAATGGTAATCCAACTTTAGAATCACCTACATGCTACTTTATTGACCAAGATCAACTGTGTATTGCTGCGTTCATAACCAAGTGTGAAGATGGTAATTACATGTTGTGAAGTCGTAAATACCAGTTGGATGCATTCACGTGCTTTGACCTCGTTGAGAAACGCTGATAGGCTAATGGCCAACAAGCTGTGTCAACCATAAACTTAAAGTACAGCTATTATGCTTGTAAACAAATTAATGCTTGAAACCCATTTTTATACATTGCTTTTTTGTATTGTTTTTTTTGTTACATTTAAATGCCGAAAATGCTGTTATCGAGGTAATTTCCTTAGTAGGTGAAGTCAGAGGTCAGCATGTGGGAGAAGTCGGAGCTCACGGATGATAGACATGTTTCCCATTAGTATGTACTCAATTTCATTGAAGGGGACTATGGATCTGTCTCCGTCTGAGCTAGTCATGACATGTTGTACATCTCCTCATGAGCAACAAGTTCCCATAATGACCGATAAGCTCGGCCCATTACATTTTCAGCAAATTATACTTTTTTCCCCCCACCAAACTTTGAACAAGGATATCTCCTGTCCCTTTTGAGCTACAGTCATTACATTTTGTACATACAGTGCCTTCGGAAAGTATTCAGACCCCTTGACTTTTTCCACATTCTGTTACGTTACAACCTTATTCAAAAATGGATTAAATAAAATCCTCATCAATCTACACACAATACATTTACATTTACATTTTAGTCATTTAGCAGACGCTCTTATCCAGAGCGACTTACAGTTAGTGAATACATATTTTTTTTTTTATACCCCATAATGACAAAGCGAAAACAGGTTTTTTATTTTTAAAACTAACATAAATATCTTACTTACATAAGTATTAAGACCATTTGCTATGAGACTCGAAATTGAGCTCAGGTGCATCCAGTTTCCATTGATCAGCCATGAGATGTTTCTACAACTTGATTGGAGTCCACCTGTGGTAAATCCTATTGATTGGACATGATTTGGAAAGGCACACGCCTGTCTATATAAGGTCCCACAGTTGACAATGCATGTCAAATCAAAAACCAAACCATGAGGTCGAAGGAATTGTCCATAGAGCGCCGAGGCACAGATCTGGGGAAGGGTAGCAAAACATTTCTGCAGCAAGGAAGGTCCCCAAGAACACAGTGGCCTCCATCATTCTTAAATGGAAGAAGTTTGGAACCACCAAGACTCTTCCTAGAGCTGGCCGCCCGGTCAAACTGAGCAATCGGGGGAGAAGGGCCTTGGTCAGGGAGGTGACCAAGAACTCGATGGTCACACTGACAGAGCTCTAGAGTTCCTCTGTGGAGATCGTTGTCCTTCTGGAAGATTCTCCTATCTCTGCAGCACTCTACCAATCAGGCCTTTATGGTAGACGGAACCACTCCTCAGTAAAAGGCACATGACAGCCCGCTTGGAGTTTGCCAAAAGGCACCTAAAGACTCTCAGACCATGATAAACAAGATTCTCTGGTCTGATGAAACCAAGGTTGAACTCTTTGGCCTGAATGCCAAGTGTCATGTCTGGAGGTAACCTGGCACCATCCCTAGGGTGAAGCATGGTGGTGGCAGCATCATGCTGTGGGGATGTTTTTCAGCGGCAGGGACTGGGAGACTAGTCAGAATCGAGGGAAAGCTGAACAGAGCAAAGTACAGAGCCATCCTTGATGAAAACCTGCTCAGGACCTCAGACTGGGAAGGTTCACCTTCCAACAGGACAATGACCCTAAGCACACAGCCCTCGACAACGCAGGAGTGGCTTCGGGACAAGTCTTTGCATGTCCCTGAGTGGCCCAGCCAGAGCCCGGACCTGAACACAATCGACATCTCTGGAGAGACCAGAAAATAGCTGTGCAGCGACGCTCCACATCCAACCTGACAGAGCTTGAGGATCTGCAGAGAAGAATTGGAGAAACTCCCCAAATACAGGTGTGCCAAGCTTGTAGCGTCATACCCAAGAAGACTCGAGGCTGTAATCACTGCCAAAGGTGCTTCAACAAAGTACTGAGTAAAGGGTCTGAATACTTATATAAATGTCATATTTCCGTTTTTTATTTTTAATAAATGTGCAAACATTTCTAATAACCTGTTTTTGCTTTGTCATTATGGGGTATTGTGTGTAGATTGAGGGGGGGGGAAACTGTTAAATACATTGTCAACTGTGGGACCTTATATAGACAGGTGTGTGCCTTTCCAAATCATGTCCAATCAATTGAATTTACCACAGGTGGACTCCAATCAAGTTGTAGAAACATCTCATGGATGATCAATGGAAACTGGATGCACCTGAGCTCAATTCTGAGTCTCATAGCAAAGGGTCTTAATACTTATGTAAAAAAAACTATTTTCGCTTTGTCATTATGGGGTATTGTGTGTAGATGAGTATTTTATTTAATCCATTTTAGAATAAGGCTGTAACAAAATGTGGAAAAAGTCAAGGGGTCGGAATAGTTTCCAAATGCACTATATATGCATCTCTTCAGGAGAAGCAAATTTCCCACAAGGATCTTTAAGCCCCGCCAATTCACAAAAGGGTGTGTAGACTATAGGCACTGTAATTCCATTCAGATACAGTTGACCATAATGTTGGCAATATAATCAACTGAAAACTTTGAACAAGCATATCTCCTGTCCTGTTTTAGTAGTGCCAAAAATAAGGGGTCTAATACATTAAAATATATATAGTTTTCTGACCTTTATCTCTCAGGTATAGGAGAGAAACTTCAGAACAAAGTCCCCCCAAAAATCTAAGGGAAATATGTTGGGCTAATAGCAGTAAGGCCAAATAAAAAATTTTGACACTTCAATGGGTTTTAAAATTCTAAATCAAATAGCTAAATTATCTTTGTTATGACTTTCAAACAATTCCATATACTGTAGCTTAGTAGTAATCAACTAATCAAGCTTTAATTATTTGAATCAGCTGTGTAGTGCTAGGGCAAAAAACAATACGGGGTCCCGAGGTCCGAGTTTGGGAAACACTGGTGTACACTGTCCAAGAATCTCTCAAGACTATCCCGCACCTGCTAATACGGCTTAACATACCAAGTTTTGAGCATCACCCTCCCTCTGCCATCAAGTGAGTATGAATTAATTATCAGCAATTGTCTATATGGTGTAGCTAGCTATAGCTGGTCCTTCCCTCCACCTAATAATGAGAGATTAAAGGAATTAAGATTGTTCAATTATTCTCAATGGTAATTAGTGAGTGTACTCTATATCTGTAGAGAAATAGGTGGGCATACTGCGTATGGGTGAGATTGACGCTGGCAGTGACACCACACATAGGCTGGCACAACACTGCTGCCCTGCATTACATGGTATGGCTCTGTATATACAACAGTATAATGACATATTTTCCTGTTTTTCTAGAGAGGGACAGGTAGTGTGTAATGTGCGATTAACTAAATTGACTTTGCATTTGACTGTGTATAATCTCCATTCTCCATAGAGACACTGGATGCAGAGTTACAGTCCTTTACAATCCCTCATATCCCACTCATGTTCAGTAGAGAATAAGCTGTCATCAAGGCAAAGGGTGGCTGTTTGAAGAATCTCAAATCTGAAATATATTTGGATTAGTTTAACACTTTTTTGGGGTTACTACAGGATTCCATATGTGTTATTTCATAGTTTTGATGTCTTCACTATTATTCTACAATGTAGAAAATAGTAAAAGTAAAGAAAAACCCTTGAGTGAGTAGGTGTTCTAAAACTTTTGACCGGTAGTGTGTGTATATATACAGCTCTGGAAAAAATTAAGTGACCACTGCAAATGTTTCTTAAATCAGCATCTCTACATGTATGACAGCCATTCCATTCCAGTGTCTGTTGAATTCCAACACAGCACACCTCATTCTACTGAATTAGGTACTGATTAGGTGATCACCTGAACCAAATCTTATTTAACGAGGAAAAGTATAAAAACCACTGCTGTGGTCGTCACTATCCTCTTGCAATAGGACCAGCTGGATGGCAAAAACAGTGTTAATAGTACCTCAAAAGTAATATTAATAAAAAAATAACTATTGACCATGCCGAAAGAGTTGAAAAGGAATGTTTTGAGTGAGGAAAAGAAGGGTTCAATTCTGGCTTTACTGGCAGAGGGATACAGTGAGCGTCAGGTTGCTTCCATCCTTAAAATGTCAATGACGGCGGTTCATAAGAACAAGCAGCAGACATTGGGGACAACAAAGCCACAGACCGGCAGAGGGTGAAAACGACTCTACTGACCGGGATGACCGCCAACTCATTCGAATGTCACTCAACAACCGTAGGATGACATTAAGTGACCTACAAAAAGAATGGCAAACGGCAGCTGGGGTGAAGTGCACGGCGAGGACGGTTCGAAACAGGCTCCTAGGGGCAGGGCTGAAGCCGTGCAAAGCTAGAAAAAAGCCCTTCATCAATGAGAAGCAAAGAAGAGCCAGGCTGAGGTTTGCAAAAGACCATAAGGATTGGACCGTAGAGGACTGGAGTACGGTCTTCTCTGATGAGTCCAACTTTCAGCTTTGCCCAACACCTGGTCGTCTAATGGTTAGATAGAGACCTGGAGAGGCCTACAAGCCACAGTGTCTCGCACCCACTGTGAAATTTGGTGGAGGATCGGTGATGATCTGGGGGTGCTTCAGCAAGGCAATGGGGCAGATTTGTCTTTGTGAAGGACACATGAATCAAGCCAT